CCATTCACTCTCGAGCTAAGTCGAATGTTACTTCCATACTTACTATAAGCGCTATAAGCGAAAAGTGGGAACTTATGCAGTTTAGGTATCCTTCTTTAGCCACGCCCTTTTTCTCTTTCCACCATCAATCAAACTTATTTTGTACACAATGGTCAGCCTTTCCTTCTCCCTTTTTCTTCTCCACGGCAATCATTTAAGACGAGTCGTAATTTTTATTTTTAAATTTTTTTAGGAGCAGTCAGAAGAAAAAGGGAGCAGGAAAGGCTGACCATTGTGTATAAAATTAGGTTGATTGATGGTGGAAAGAGAAAAAGGGGCGTGGCTAAAAAAGGATACCTAAACTGCATAAGTTCCGAAAAGTGCTTAAATCCTATTCCAAAAAATTACCAGATGCTTCACATTGCAAAAATTGTTTAAATTCTTCATCATGTAACAATTCTTTTAGTTTATTTATATGGACTACTGCTCTTTTATTTGCATTATTAACTTTTATCTGGTCAGTATTGTAACCATTATTCAAACAGTTAACCCAATAATCATTTACTTCTTTTATAGAATCAAGGGTAGGTTTGGGAGGCTTTCCTTTACTTTTTCTACCACCTTTCTGAGATTTTTTTGGAGGATTTACTTGGTTTAAAATTTCCTCAGTGCAACTTTTGAATGTTTGAAGATATAGATATCCGTTACCATGATTAAATATGCTCGTTTCATTTTGGTTTATGAATAATTTCTAAAAATAAAAAAATAGTTTTGGCAGTAAAAGCCCCCTAGCAATATGAATCTACTCTTAAGTTCAAAATAAATCTAATGCCTCTAGTTTTTGATGTTTCTTAAAGTAGTGATAGGTCGAGTTACCCGGTAACCCTAGATCCGAAACACTAACTTCTTTGTCTACCCAATCCATTCTGATTTCGAGGTAGGGTTGGCGAATCCTGGTAAATCCCCAGGAACCAACATTCAAATATATGCTTCGTGACGTTTTGGCGTTAATTCTGGCAGATTTTGGCGTTATGTCTTTTGGCGTATTTTAAAAATTTGAAAATTGGCGGTTGGCACAACTCTTGTAGTATCCGAACTTAAATTCCAAATATCAAGATATTGCAAACTTTTTTGGACTAGGGCCTTTTAATTTGTTACCCCCTTGTGATAATAAATGGAAATGTGGTGGACATTAGAGTTTTGCCGTTTTGCCTTTCGTTTACCTCTATCTCAAAATTTATGTCTTGCTCATTAAAATTCTGTCCTTTCCAAAAATTAATTCTATATATATAATACCACATATAGAGCATGTGTTGAATTATTTCTTTTTTTACAATTTCATCTCAAAAAAATTTTTTTAATTTTTAAAAAATTTAAAATTTTTCAAATTTCCTAAAAATACCTCTTCCTATTTGTATTTGATTCAATTCTTTAAATGCCCATTCCATATAGATTATATAATCCAACACAACTAAACTTTTCCAATCAGTTGTATTGTTTTCTCTTGGTGTAAAATTTATTTTGTACAGGTCTTTGATTAAATCCTCAGGATTTACTAAATATTTTGTTTATAAAAATTTGTAAATGATATATTTTTGGTTCGGATATCTTCTCCGAATATACGAAGATTTCTAAAGATTAACAGGGTAAGCGTTTAGACCTAGATGGAATTGATTTCGATTCGTCAAAAAATTTTCTTGAGTTTCGTACATGTACATATGGTTCGGACATCGGATCCGCGCAAATGAAAAAAATTTTTCGCAGCCGCAATCCACAGTCCGAAACAGTGCTGTTTCGAAACAAAATAACCCTCATAATAGGAAATTGAAATCGAAAAAAAGTTTAGAATAGGGTTGTCGGTTTCACCAGATTCATCGGTTAACCGAAACCGAACCGAAAATCTTTGGTTCGGTTCGGTTTGAAACCGAAACCATAGTTTAGAAATATGAAATCGATAATAATCTGAAAATCTTCGAAATCAGAGATGCTTTCGAAGCCAGGAATGTGCGCCATGGCGTTTTGGCGTTCATTTTTGTAGATTTTGGCGTTCTGTTGTTTGGCGTGATTTAAAAATTTGAAAAATTGGCATTTTGCGTTTGGCACGGCATGGAAAAATTTTGGCGCGCCATGAAATAATTTTCACGCACACAGGCCTTGTTCGAAATCGAAAGGCAAATAACCTCGAAAAAATTTACTTACTCAATTGATGAAAATTTTCTGAAAACCTTTCAGAAAGTATAGCAAATCTTTCTACTCCAAAAATACTTTTAAATTTCCATCTCATGTGATACAATCCAACTTCATTATTATTAATATTTATTTTGCTACTTAAATTTATTTTTAAAAAATTTTCTTTAATAAAATTTTTAAAAAAACCTAAGAAAATTAGCAAAATTTTTATTTTCCATAACCGAAAAATAAAATTCAATAAAGATTCCTTCTACAATCATGCCTTTTAAAATTTCATTTTTTTCGACAATATTATTTTCTTTATCACAATCAAAACTAAACATTTGTTCAGTACTATTTGTTGTTAAACTATTTATGTAAAATTTTAAATGAACAAAAATTTGAATAATATAGCAAAGTTGCGTATTATTTCTTTGTTCTGTGTGGTATAGTGCTGATTTGACTCTAAATTTAGCAAAAAAATAGATTTTTTTTATTAAAATTTGGGTGATTGATGGTATTTTGAAGTTAGGGTCTGCGCCTAATTTTCCAAAAGTTAGGAGTTGCTTCGGGAAACGTGAGAATATCTCACCCTAGGAGGTGCAAACTTTTGCCTAAAATTTTTCTGCGCGCCCGCCTTTAAGGGTGAGCACTAGAGACGAACAAAGGGTGGGCACTAGAAAATTTTTGATTATTTTTGTTCCTTATTTAATTCTCTATCATTTGATCCTTATTTGATCTCATTAGCTTTACTTTCAATAAAGTTATGCCAAAAATTGTGACCGGTTACTTTTGGGTCACTTGTGGGTAATTTCAACTTTTTGCTGGAATAGGTAATTAATTAGGCGAGGGAGCAATCATCTGATAGGAGGGGGGGGTAATTATTCGAGCATATATGTTTGTAAAAAATGGTAAAAATGAAGGATTTCGGACTTCCTGGCCTTCCAAAATCCTCAAAATTTTTGCCTGCGGCGCTAAAAATGAAAGAAATTTGGCTTCTTGGCCTTCCAAAAATCTCAAAATTTTCGCCTTATTTGAAATTTTATTATGTTTAAGCTTTTAAAGCTATGTCCTAATTTTTGCCTTAATTTCTTCTCTATTTTTGCCCTATTTTTACCCTATTTTAGAGTGGCTGCGCCCTATTTTAGTGTTTTGGAAGGGGCCACCCTGATAGGTTTGTAAAAATTAAGTTTTAACAGACCCATTAAAATATTGTAATAAAGTCGCTCCTCGAAAAAACTTTTCTCTTCCAATTTATCTTTTATTTCAGCTTTATATCTCTCTATTAATCTTTCATTTATAGAGAGATATGTAGCTATTGCTATTTTTAATTTAATTTTTTTCAAATCTTTTTCTGTGCCAGCTGATAAATATTCTTTGTAATACTCAGCTAACACTTGGTTTTTGTATTCTATCGACGATGGATTTAGAAAAAAAGCATTCTCACCGCCAATAGTATTTTGAATGGCCAAATTTTTCATCCCTAAGTTATTTTATAAAAAATTTTTGTGAATAAGTGTTGCAATAAACCAAGATAATACTTTGGTTTAGAGCCCGGACGGAGGGCTCGGTCTATCGAAAAATATCGAAATCGAAAAATATCGAATAAAAAGTCTCGATAATTTTGATTTTTCACAAACTTAACTATACCCAATGAATAACAGAATAGACCTAATATTTTAATGAGATTAAGATTAATTAAATGGATATTGGTGAATTTAATCGGATTAAATGTAATATCAATGGACTTGTATTTGATATCGAAGGATCAAGTGGGATATAAGTGGATTTTAACTAGGGATAATGGTGCCTTTTTGAAAAGCCTGGACTTGTTCCACTTGTTCCTGGGGTTGATTTATTGACCTGGGCCGGATCCTCGGCCTGTAGTCCAGGAAAAGCCTAGGAAGGTCAAAATGCCTGGGCCTGGAATCTTTGGATTAACCAAAGCCTGGAAAAACAAGGCCTAGAAAAACCCAGGTCTTGGTCCAGGTCCAGCTCGATCTCTAGTGTCTACACACAATTTTTATAAATCCATTTTTATAAAAATTTCAAAAAAAGTTTCCTAACGTTTCCCAAGTTCCTTCATCTTTTTCATTGCTAGTAAAGATGAAAAAAGTAATAAAAAAATAATTATTTGACATTTCATTCTCAATCAAATTAATTAATTTTTTTAAATTTGTCTATAATTTGTCAAAAATAATTTTTAGAGACTAGCAAATAAAAAAAATATTTTTAATTAATGTAAAGCATATAGCTATTTAATTCCCAAGGATGTGAAATAGGCGGCGTGGTGTAATAGCTAACACATCAGTCCGGTCTACTGAAGATGCTGGTTCGCTCCCAGCCGCCGAATAACCTTTTGCACTAGCAAATAAATAAAAAAATATTTTTTTAGCTAACAATAATATAAAAATTATTTTTAAACATAAAAAAATAAAAAAAATTTTTAAGTAAAGGCCCTAAATGAGGACCTCTCAATCAAATTATTAAAAAAACGCGCGCGAATTACTCGACAGAAAAGAGAGAGAGAGAAGCTGCGCGCGCCCTTTTGCCTCTCTATTTGAATATTATTATTGCCTCTCCTTTTGGCAATTAAATTTGCCTCTCCTTTTACTAAACATTGCTTTATTATAAGTAATTAACATGTAAGATGGAAAGCGGGGAGGAAGAAAAGTCCACGTCGACACTGCCCTTTTAATTATTCAATAATATGTATTAATTTTTGAAATTTAAAAATGTCAAACGACTTCTTGCCAGCGGAAATTCAAAATCCTGTGATGTGTTGTCTTTTATGTTTTTACAGTTGTTATTAGTGATAATTATTAGGGTTGAGAAAGAGCTTAGCAAAATTTCAGCCACCGGGCAGGATTCGAACCTCCTACCTCCTCGTAATTTTTGCTCACCACATACAGGAGCTCTACCACTGAGCTACCGGGGCAACGACTCGTCGTAGCCCCGGTCTTTTATCCTTTTAGATCGTTTAACCTCTGCCTAAGCGTTTAAATGCGCTAGGTGAATCATCCTTACAGTTGTTCGCTGCCGGTATTAACCGGCACTCCTGGTTTTTGATTAATCCAAATTTTAAAAGCCCGTTTTGTGTTTTATACAGATACCAGCATTATTTAGGGGAATTTTTTGGGAAATCACTTATTTTAATAAATTTACGCTTTCTATAATTTTTAAATTTAATAAAAGTGATTAATTTTTGAAAAAAAAAATTCAAAATTTCCGGTTTAAAATCGGTCATTAACAATCCTAGTAGAGATAACTGATAAAACTTTTTCTTAATTTAGATTTTAGATTTACTGAGCGGCACAATTCTGAGGGTCACATCACCTTGAAGGAATACACAAAAAAGGAAGACGAAATTGAAAATTGCCCAAATTCTTGTTATCTTAAACTTGAAATACCTGATTTTTATTACTTTTTATTGCTCATAGTGCCTAAATATATTATTTTTTCTTTTCAATAATTCTAAATTTTTTTTTCCAATAAATTTTAAATATTTAAAAAAAATGAATGACAAAATAACTGTTTGATTAGCTTTTTGCGTTTTTTTGATGATGAAGCATTTTGCCGCTTTATTGTCTCTCCCGTACAATTCAAAGGCAAAAAGGCTTTAATCCATCAACATAATTAAAGCACTCTCACTTTCATTCTCTCACTTTTATTCTCTGCCGCATTAATAAAAATTAATTTTAGAGGGGTTTTAGAGAGGTAGGTGTGTTTGTATATTTGTGGCTTTTGTTGTCTTCAATTTTAGAAAGATAAAAAAATTTTTTATTAATTTAAAAATCTTTTTTTTAGTTTATAATCGAAGAAAAAAATATTTAAAAATTACTTGAACTTTTTTTTGTGTTTTGTTTTAAATAAACTTTTACAGCTCTTTAAACCAACCGATTTTCTTGTGCGTTCAAAAAGCTCGCAAACTCTTTAAATTTAATTAAACTATTCAAGTTAAAGATGAAGCAAGAAATATTTTTTCAATTATTTCTTTTAATTTTAACTTCAATTTTGGTTGAAAACAAGCAAAACAAGCAATTATTGAAGGATAAATCAAATTTTATTTTTTTAACATTTTCTAATGATTCTGACAGTAATTTGGAAGTAAATCTGGTTTTGGGAGAGAAGGATTTACATAAAAGTAAGATGGCTTTTTACAATATTTTTGGCAAGATTTGGTGTTATTGAATAGTGAATTAAATAAACTACGAAAATTCTGAAAAATCAGAATTTTAACTTAATTAACAAGAAAGTTATGGAGTAAAATGTGCTAAAATGTTGATTTTTTGGCACTTTTTTGAACCATAATTCTATTTCCAAATTATTGAAAATTCTGATTTTTCTCTAATTTGTAGAGAATTTAATTCTCTATCGAATGATAACAAAAGAATTTAAAAATCTCAATAATTCAATGAGTTACAGGAAAAATAGTGAGCCCATGTTTTGGCCAAAAAAAATTTTTTTAATTAAATTATAATTTATTAACTTTCAAATTTTTTTAAAGAACAATTAATTTTAACATCCAAACACCACAAAAGTGAAGCAGAAACCGGCAAAATGACTGTAAATTATACAGTGAGAAAGGAATCGTCTCCTATAGGCCTTTTTGGCACCTCAAATCTTTTTTCCTCAGCTGCGACTGAATTGCCTTTGGTTAAAGCAAAAACTATAAAATTATCTGAGAGTGTTGGAAATGTTGGTAAGTGAATAAAAAGAAAATTAAAATTAATTAAAATTATTTTTTGAAGAATATAAGATTGATGGAGTAACTCAAGGCTTTGTAAAAACACACCATCTTTTCCCTAAGGGGCACAAAAATTATCAAATGAGAGTTTGTATTTTTGGCGATTTTGCTCAGAATTTATATGAGGATGCTGATCTGAATCTTAGCGATATTATAGAGAAAGAAAATTGTCAATTAGCTCTTTTTATTGGTAAGTTAAGAATTTTATGGGTAGAAGGAGTAGGAGGATATGGGTTAGTTAAAGCCTTATATCTCTTGAATGGATGAACCTTTTTAGCTACTTTTGGTATCATTCGATAGAGAATTGAATTCTCTATCGAATGATACTAAAAGCTTCTCTAAAGCTCCATCCATCCCTGAGTTCTGTCTCAAAGATTCAACTGCTCTTTAAGGTAAAATCGCTTGGGAACGCCAAGTAAAATCTCAACAACCGAGCTTTTCATTTTCTCCATATGTAATGTTACATAGCAAAACTAATCCTTTAAAATATTCTGCATTCACCAAAGTTCCTTCAATTTTTGGAAAAGTTGGTGGAGGTATGACAGAAACAAGTTACTTTCAATGGCAAGTTTTAATTTTTCTAAAAGACGAGCTTTTTAAACAATCACATTTTCTTGATGTTTTAAAAAGCTGTAAATTTCCCTTAAAGTACCCGAGTTGGAGATGTTGCTTTTATTCAAATAACGGTAGAAATAGCTACAGTAGCCGATTTGCCTGATGGAAGCAAAGCTTTTGAGATGATTGGGCATTATTTTAGAGAAACTATGCTTAATGAATTGGAATGTAAATTACAGGTAATTTAAAGGGGATTAATTCTCTTACGATAATTTTTCCTTAAAAAGGAGCTACATCAAATAGAAAAACGTCCATGGATTGCGTATGCAATTTTTAAAAAAAATCTAAATATTAAAAAAAATAAAGTTTATATATGACACATCCCTTTTTGGTAAGCAATGATGAGAACAAGGTTCAGTGGTTTGTAATGAATGACACTCATCGCTTCTTTGATATTTTAAAACGTTATAAGGTTAAGATTGAAGATTTTTAATTAAAATTTAACATCTGAAATCGGGCGTTTTGAAATGGCGTTTCAAGACTGGGCATTTCAAAGGGGAGCAGGCCAAGGTACCGAGAGCCCAAGGTACCGCCGAACTATAACTTCTTCAAAATTGTCGACTCCGGGACGACTTGGTATGGTTCGATTCAGCTCGTCGAGATGCATCGAACTATACCAGGGCGTCCTGGATTCGACAATTTTGAACAAAGTTATAGCTCGGCGGTACCTTGGCCTTGCGGCACCTTGGGGTGTACCCATTTCAAAGCTTGGCATTTAGTATCCTGGCGCTTCAAGTAGGGTTAGAAACAGAAATTTTTAAAAAATTATAGGTCGATTTGCTAACAAGCTGTGGAATTGAGGGAATGTCTAGAATGTTGCAAGCTGCCCGTAAAAGAATGCCAGACGCCAAACTACCAGAATATATACAAACAACAATGGCACAATGTGGGGGATATCAATCAGTAGATGTTACTTTACAGAATGAATGTACATTTGCTACGTTAAATATATCACCCAAACAAATTGAATTTAAAAAGAAATATGCTGAAGGGAAAGAAGCGGGGAAAGTGGCTATTGAAGGGAAAATACAACGAACTTTCGTAAAAAAATTTTTAATATTAAAATTTATTATAGAGGGGTGGGGTATACGGTTTTCTAGTAGAGGCAAAATGAGATAGTATTTTTTATGGGTGGACATAAGTAGGGTTGGGCCCCGAATGCTCGGAGGCGGTTGTCTCTGGGTACGGGGTTTTTGAATTGTTTCGAGGCGGGGTTGGGGAGCAACTCTCGACATTAGTGAAACACATGGTAGTGAGCGAAGATTCTTTGTAAAATTGTCAAAATGAATACAAAATCTCGCTATAACGAACTCGAAGTGACCAAAGGAAAGGTTTATTAAAGCGAGAGCAATTTCATAGAGAAATAGTAGTCCGGTACCTGTAAAAAGGTTCGGTATCTCGAAAAGTTTAATAAATCTAAATTAATTACTGATTTCATTTTAAATGCCTAGGCATCGGGGTGGCGCAAGTGGCAAAAAATACGAGACACGAGATTTCACGAGATACAAGACGAGCGCCACCCCTGCTAGGCATTCATTGCATTCATCCTCCAAAGGGGCATTCTATTAGAAGGGGAATTCAAATAGAGAGGGGCATTCAGTCGGAGGAAATACGGTATATAGAGAGTAGACTATCCCATTTATCACAAAAGATAAAATCACAATTAATTCAATTTTAAATTTAGGAAGAAGCAGATCGTTGTGTTCCGGACGAACTTTGATATTTTTAACGGAAAAACATTTTCTTCTATTTCTCTTTTTAAGAAGCTTTTCCTTCCTTACCTTTTTGCTTTAACTTTTTTTCCTTTTCTTTATTAACTGGTCATTTAATCGATTGTAAAATACTTCAATAAATTTGTACAACTCTTGCTTAATAAAAAAAATTCTCCCAAAATCCCTCTAAATTTACCCAAAAATGCTAAAATTATCTTTATTTTTCCTTCTCCTCATTCCCCCTTTAATTTCTTCTTTTGACCGAACAATTGACCATTTTGAGACCAATTTGGATCGGTTTGCTAAAGGACCCCCTTCACATATTAAACCTTCACGAATTATTCTTCCAGCTAATTTTATGGAAAAATTAATAAATAATGGAGGGATTCAATTGAAAAGACCAGAAAATTTTGAACAAAATTTTAATGAAAATGCAAATAAATTAAATAATAACCAGCTAAATCACCCAACTACACGAATTTTAACAAACCCAAAAATTCCAGTTGACAAAAATTTATTAAATAAAAATAAAGAAAAAGAGGAGAATGCTTATTTGTCTCAAGTTAATCAGTTAATTCCTTCAATTCCATCAATTAACACAGGAGAAGATCCTAGACCTTTCCTGGAAGGAGAAAGACTAGGGCAACAAGGAAAATTCGGTGGACCAACAAACCAATACAAAGAAGACTGGGGACGTAAATACACCCAAAAAGAGAATAGAGAAATGGCTGGACAAGTTCCAAATTTTATTTCAAGTTTCGGAAGCTCTCAGCAACCCTCAAAAATAGAAAAAGGTTGGTAGTATATTTTGGTGTAGTGGGATAATGTTTGGTTTACACCGAAAAGGAGTTGTGGGTTCGACCCTTTTGGCAGAAAACATTTTTTAAATAAACGTATTAAATATTTTTTTAGTTTAAATGTGACAATAATGCTTACAAAAATTTTTAAAAACTAATTTTCACTCTAAAAATAGTAAAAAGCTTTAAAAAATTTTAAATTTCTCACAGATATCAACCCAAATTTAGACGGATCTAAAGTATTTATTGACAACAACAAAAATTCTCAAAATACTGGCCTCACATCTGGGATTTCTCCCTATTTAAACGCACCAGAAGAAATAACGGGAAGTAGATGGCGTAGTTTTGATGAATATTTTAATAAATTAAATAAGGATAAAAGAGGAAGAGGGCCTAATAGATATGTTAAAATTGATTTATTGAATGAATAATGAGAGAATAAAATTATTTAAAAAAAGTTCGGAGTAATCATTAGAACCAGCAAAAATATTTAAAATCCTAATAAAAACTTCATTTTAACTTCACGTCATTTTAATATTACTTATTCGTTGTCACCCCCACAAAATCTCAATATTGAAGTTTTAGCTGACAAGCCTAATTGTATGGACATATTTCCAACTTTTCAATAACACTTCAAACTGCAGCCAATATATTACATCTATTAACATATTCACGATAGATGACAAATCATACTGAGTTCAGACCTGCAATAAGAGAATTGATAATTGCAAGGAATGAAAAAGCGAAGTGACTTTCGTTTTCAGATAGGGCCGAGAATTTCCTTGCCTGTTCCAACGCCTTTAGCACAAAATATACTTTAGCTCCAGGTATTCTAAATTAGCCATGCTAAAAAATCAAATTTTTATTTTAACCTTGAAAGCTTAATTAAAAATTAAAATAAATAAAAATATATAATCTATCAAAAGACACAGACTGGATAACAAAAAATTTTTCTATTAAAATTTTTATACAAACAAACAAGCCACAGGAAGCAGGCGAAAACAAAAAAAACCTTTTTTAATTCATTTCCTTTCGTGTCCATTCAATTCTTTATTAAATTTCCTCCTCCAACTGTCCAACCATCTTGGAGGTGTTTTTCTCTTTTCTTTTTCGTCTTCAGAAATTATTTTTAAATCTCTTCCTAAATTAGCTCCAATTTTACTAAAAGCTCTATAATCATCTCCATAATCTGCATGTTTAAATAATTGATCCATTTCCTTAATTTTGATTGAAAAAAATTTTTTTTTTGAGAAAAGTAAACCTGTACGACTAAATGTTGACGATCTTCAATAAATTTAAATTGAGGTATAAATGTACTATAAAACTAAGAAAAGGAAAAATTAAAAATATTTAAAGACTATAAAGCCTCAATAGGATTGTGAGTTTAAAAATAACTAGAAATTTGAGGATTCACTATAGAAAAAGACTCAAGTTTCGGATAGTCCAGTTTAAGATTTTGCTGTGGGTAGAACTGAAAATCCTAGTCCGAATAGGATTCTTGTCAGTTATTGACGATTTTTGGATCCGGAGTCATTTGTGGCTCGGATTTTGAACGCATATAACTATCCGAATATAGCTCCGGAGCCAAAAAACAAACTAGCAATAGGATAGGGCCGTAGCCAGGGGGAGACAAAAAATCCCCCCCCCCCGTACATTTTCCCCCTTTGACCAAAAAATGAACAAAATAAATACTCAAAGTTCTAGTAGGTCCCTTGTAAGTGAAAATGGAAATTTTACTCCCTATGGGTCTTATTGTTAGTGTAACCCCAAATTAAAATTTTTTTATTTAAAAAACCTCACAATTTCTGATATATCCTTCCGTAACTTTTCAGAGTATTCATCCAATAGATTTTTTGTTTCCTAAAAAAATTTAAATTAAAAAAATAAATTTTATTTTAAAAAAACCTCGTCTTTTTCAACATCCCCAGTACATTTCCAAAATACCCTAATTTCATTCATTAAATGGGGAAGTTCAAGTTTAGTTATCAAAACATTTTCAAGCCCATCTTCTTCACAAATAATACTTGGCAAAACACTCATATAAATTTTTGTCAATTGTTCTCGTTTTTTGGGATCCAAAAACCGGTTTTTTGTGCCAAATCTTTCCAATACTAATTTCTGAAATAATTCATTTAAAAAAATATTAGAGAAAAACCAAGGGAACCAAAAATAGGAAGGACTAATGGGAATTTAAGTGGGAAAAAGGGAACTTTTTGCTGACAATAACTTGGCGCTGAAATTGATTTTTGTTCTCTCCTGCCTTCCCCCTCACCCTCCACGAAAATTTTTCTTGAGTACGGGCCTAGATAATAATTACTAGTGCTGCGTCGGAACCGCAAATCAGACCGGAACCGGAACCAAAAAATCCCGGAACCTCCAGGCTTACCGGAACTTCCGGCGCAACAATAATTACTACCTACAAAACGACATTTGGATCAATTCTCTATCATTTATGTGGTGTTTTTACGCTAGGCAAAGGAGCCAAAAAGGAAAACAGAAGCAAAATTTACACACAGAAATAAAAAAAAAATTATGACGACCAAAAATACCAAAAAAAATTTTTTTTAAGAAAACCACCCCAGAATTAAACCCGTTAAAATTAAAAAAACCGTAGATTCCAAAGAATAAAATCCAAAATCTTGTAAATATGTTTTCGTAAAGGTCCTTTCCATTTTACGTCTAAGCAAATGAAATCTTGTCTGTTTAATTTCATATCCTCCAGTTCTATTAGTTCCCGAAGAGCGATAATAAACTTGGCAGGCAATCAATTTTAGAGGGTGAAAATGTGTTGATAATAATTGTTGTTGAGATTTAAATGATTGAAACATTTTAACAATTAAAAAAAATTTTTCTAAAAAATAAAAAAAATTTTTTTGAAGAAATACTGCATAAAACAAGGATAGTTTAGAGAAAAAGATGAAAAAAACGTTTCGCCAAAAACAAACAATTTTAAATTATTTTAGTTTCTTGGCCTTAATTTACGACGATTTTAAAAATTTCAAGTTAAGTTTGAAGTTGATGACTATCACTTTATTACCGCCAACATGATCTTGATCACTTTAAGATCAGTATTTACCGTTTGAAATGTAGGGAAACTTGTCGTACATCATATTATGAAATTTTTTTTATTTTTCTTCCGCTTCCGCCTTCCGCAGAATTCCGCTTTTTTGGCCCTTCCGCCTTCCGTCTGCCGCTTTTTTATTATATTTCGCTTTCTTCCGCTTTTTAAAATTCTAAATTCACCATCACTGCTGTGCAGGCACTAGGAAGGGCCCTGTCCTGCGGCGCTGTAATGGGAGGATCCGCCACATTAGCTTTAGAATTATTTTAAAAGACAGCTAAAAAGACCACTGGCTTCTTAACAGTCACTAATATGTACGGAGATTGCGGAAATTATGCGGATATAGCATCATATCTGTATCCGCCTGTATCCGCGGATATCCGAGAGTTTGCATCTTCAATTATAAATTATTGCGCAATAATTTTTACAGCATCAGCCATTAATAGGCAATCGATAACTCAAGGTAATCGGCAAGCAATCATCCAATTCAAGGAAGTTGACAGGCAATCGACAACTAGCAAGGCAATCGCCAATTCAAAGTAATCGGCAGGCAATCGACAATTCGAAGCAGTTGACAGGCAGTCGACAACTCACAAGGCAATCGCCAATTCAAAGTAAATCGACAGGCAATCGACAATTCAAGGCAATTGACAGGCATTCGCTAACTCACAGGCAATGTCAACTCAAGGCAATCGCCAATTCAAAGTAAATCGACAGGCAATCGACAATTCAAGGCAATTGACAGGCATTCGCTAACTCACAGGCAATGTCAACTCAAGGCAATCGCCAATTCAAAGTAAATCGACAGGCAATCGACAATTCAAGGCAATTGACAGGCATTCGCTAACTCACAGGCAATCGAAGGCAGTCCAATCAACCTTGAGTCTTGCGATAAAAGAAATAGCATTATAAGAGAGAAAAATCGCACGCGACTTTCACATATATCGCCAGGTGCGTGCGTTTTTTATCAGGCATAAATACTAGCATAAATACATATCCCTCTCATTTTATACTTTGTTAAAAGTTTTTTTATTAATGTAAAAGCATATATAGCAGTTTCGCCTTTCGGTTTTTTGACGGAAGCCAAAATATTTAATTACATTATTTTTTATACTTACATATGTCAAAGCTTTGGTTTTGGGTTGGCGGGTCCGCATATGCGGAGCCGAAAAAGTCCTGATAACAGGATGGCCGTTTCCGAACCACTCAAATAGGGTGCGGCTACTCTGAATTGGGGCAAAATCAGTTCCTTTAGCTAGTGCAAAAGGTTATTCGGCGGCTGGGAGCGAATAATACAGCATCTTCAGTAGACCGGATTGATGTGTTAGCCATTACACCACGCCGCATGCTGCACAGCCTTAAGAATACAATATATTTTAGACCCAACCTTTTGGCATGAAAAAGTCAGGTCCTTCGCGGTGAAGAGGCAGGCACCGAAGGCGCCAAGAGTTTCGATTTTGGAAGGCTAAGAAGCCAGACTTCTTTTTTAAATAACCTTTTTTATTTATTTATAAATGACAAAAAAATTAAAAAAATATTACAAAATGGTAAACATATGGTAGAATAAGGTAGTTGTAGAAAATAGGGCGAAAAGGTCAAAAATAGGAAAAATACTTTTAAATACGGTAAATAGTAGGCCATCGAATTTTAATTTTTCGGATACGAGGAGGAGAATAGATATATTATTATCAACCACAGCGGTGCCCCTCTAAGCACATTATGCCCAAGACCTCCAGACAACCCTCACTACTTTAATAAAAATTTTGGTTAAAGTATCTGGGGATTTCACAGAATCCGCCACACGCTAGTCTGAAATTATTTTAAAAGACAGCTAAAAAGGAAGGTGCTGTCTTTTTAGCCATCTGAAACTCTAAAAATTCTGACTTGAATTCTTGAATTAAAATAATTTGTTTAAATTTCCTTATCCTTGGTTTTTTAGAACCC